CTGCTGGGTCCAGGACTTGAACCACAGTCAGCCATGTGGTAGTCTAACACCTCTATCCACTGCACCACCTACTGGCCCAAAATTGCAATTTTTAATACATGTGATTGCTGCCACATAAACTCCAGGTCCTGGATCTGGAAAGGCTGCCACTTCATCTGATTTTAGACTGGAATTTGCAGTGTCCTTACTGTATCGTATAAAACTAATATCAGGCTGGGAGGAGTTTTGCTTTGTTGTTTATTTATCTCAAGTAAAATTCACATAAAATCAACCAAAATGTGGTATTTATTACATTGTTGATGTTGTGCTGCCCCACCACTATTACATTCCAAAAACATTTTCATCACCCTGAAATGAGACCCTGTACCCATCAAACATTTCCTCACCCTTGACTTCTTCCCTAACCCTGGCCACCACTGTTGTGCTATCGACAAGGATTTATCAGTTCTGGCTAGTTCAGATAAATGGAATCATGAATTATGCACCTTTTCCTATCTAACTTCTTTCCCTTGGTTGGATGTTTTCAAGGTTCATGTATATTGTAGCACATATCAAAATGGCGTTTCTTTTTACAGCTGGATAATATTCCATCGTGTTGATCGACTCCATTTTGTTTACCCATTAATCCGTTGATGGGCTTCTGGGAGAGTTAGGAATGGAGCTGGAGAGAAGAGTGGCTCATGCTTTGCCCTGTGCTATTAACTTAGCTGTATGACCTCGACAAGTTCCTCAACTGTGTCTCAGTTTCCTTATTTGTTAAATGAAGATAATAACAGTGATAGCTAACTCTTCCCATGGTTGAAAGGATTGAATCAGATTATATATGAAAAGCTTCTAACATAGCACTTGGCAAACAGTGATCTGTCAATAAACATTGACTATGTTACTGTGGGGCTGTATGAGGAGAGGGGTGAGTAGGAGGAGAGAGAAAACAAGTTTGTGCTGCAGTATGTGTTGCAGTGTGCGTGTGTTCTGTTGTAGCCACTCAAACCTTTCAGCTCTGTTTTTTTTAAAAGAAGCCTATCTGTTTTCTCTGTTTTGTGGTTTGGTGTTTTTGCCCACCCCCACCCCCCACCCCATCTCTGAACATGGAATCTCACATTTTAGAAGCAGTTCACTAGACAGAACGTCTGTAGTGGAATGTTACATAATTCACATTTAGATTTGAAGAGCTCATTATAAAAAACCTGACACACTTCAGGAATATTAAATTACTGCAGATTGTGTGGAGCACAGAAACATTATTGAAGCATTTCAAAATTCTAGGCGAGCCTGAATTTAACTGATAGGGTTTCACAGCTTTTACTGGAAAAATGATTTGAGTTGTCACATGGTTTCTGGCCCTGGAGGACTTTAATCTCCTTAATTACAAAGAAATGAATTTCCTAAATAATTCGGAGTTACTTCACAGCATTTGCTCAACCTCTGGCTTTTGGAAAATTAAAGGGAATGGCAGGGTCCATGCCGAGCTATGTCCTGTCCATACTGCAGCTGCTTTATTTGAGTTTTATTCAGAGTGGCGCTGGGTCATGACTGATCTAGGGATGTACTTCCGAAATCCACAAGTAATGCTCATAACACTCGAACGCAGTCACACCTTGTCCAACAAGTGACTCTGGAGATAGGAATAGGCTACGTGGAGGATTACAAAGTTGGAGGGGAGAAAAATGGTCCAAACCTGACTTTGAAGAATCTTTGAAATTGTGTACAATGTATGCGTTTTAGCTCCTTCTGCTTTTTTGGTTTGTTTTTGTTTTTAATGGTCTAGGCACCTATTGTCTGCCAAACCAACATAATAAAAAGATCATAGATTCTACTACTTTCTGCAAGTTTCCTCAGAAAGTAAACCTCACCTGTCTGGTTCACTCCCTCTCTAGAGGGCAATGATAAGATAGACTCATAGCCCCGTGCCAGCCGTGTGGCCTTGAGCAAGTAACCCAGGGAACCGTGTGCCTGACATGTATCAACTGCTTGTCAGGAGGTGTGCAGGGCACCTTTCCCATCATGTTACGTGTGTGATCATACTAATGTCCACAGCATCTCCATACAGTTGGCACTATCAGCCCCATTATACAGATGAAGAAACTGAGGCAAAGAGCGGTCAAGTAACTTCCTCACTATCACATAGCTTGAAGGTGACCAGAGTTGTGAAATTGGTCCCCAGATTACGTTATAAGGTTAGTACAGAGAGATTCCATGTCTCTTTGAACTGAATCTTTTTGTTTTGTTTTGTTTGTTTTAATTGCCAAAGAGCACAAGTCATGGTCACAGAAAGAGAGAGACAGAGAGAGGGGAAGAGAGAAAGTGCCTTCCAGTGGAGTTTGGTCACACTACAATTCCTGTCCATTTCTCCAACCTGTCAGGATTTGGGGCAGATGTGTATACATGCCTGGCATGTTTTTTGAACTGTCAGTGTCCAGATTCTAGCTGCAGTCTGCCATATGAGATTGGGCTTTCCTAACCACCAGGTTACAAAGCTAACTCTGAACTGAACCTTAAGGAGTCAGTAGAATGTCTAGACAGACTTTAGAAGAGAAATTGCTTAGGAAGAGAATAGGACAAGGGAGAATGATACAGGGGAAAATATATCACCTCCCTACTAGACTTCTGCCTTCTGTAAGCTTGGTTATTGATTTTAAGTCTCCTCCACTTTCCATGTGCCGACACTGCCTGAAACAACCATTTATTCTTTCATTCTATTAGGTCATCAGAAAAGTCATGACATATTTTTCTATGTTTTCCTATGCAAAAATGCGTCATGACTTCCCTAGCAATCCAACACTATAATTATTGAGAAACTATTTCTTTCCCTTATCCTTCATTTGACAGAGCATCATTCTTTATAATCCCTCAAAGTAGGGTTTACCCTCTGTGAAGGGTTATTGACTCTTCCAAGCCTGGTGAATATATCCTTTTTTGTGCCCTAGCATGCTTGGTATTTATGCCTGATTTAGCTCTGGTCTTGTACCTGTATTTTAGCAGCTTAGGTACTGCTACTTCTGGTAGACTAAGCATCTCTGAGGATTGGAATCAGGCTTTGACTGTACCCTGGGCCAGCACAACTGTACAGTGAATGTCTATAGCCAACTATGAGGCAGTATTTGTATCTGGCCTATAGTAGGGTTTTAGTAAATATTCATTATAATACAATGATAAATATTATTAGGGAAATTAATTATGTCCATGTAACCAAGTTCTAAGACTTGCATCTCCCATGGAGAATTGCCTTTAGAGGGAAAGAATTGTAAAGGATTGGGAGGGGGTACTAAGGACTGTGGTACAGATGGATGGCACAAAAGTGGGAGAAGAAATCCTATTTTCTGTGTATGGTTTTGTGGACCCCTTTAGTTAGTTTTAGCCTAAAATCCTCTAGCTCATGAACTTCCATTTGGGACCAGTGTCCTTTAAAAAACTATTGGGTCAGGGACCAGCAGTTGGCATAATGGCTATGTCCCTGGACTCTCATGGACGTGACCATGGTTCAAGTCCCAGACCTGGTGGCTTAAACTCACACTAGGTGCATCTGCGTGTGTGCTCAAGATCCTTAGAGGACAATGGAGGAGAAGGGATTGCAGCATGGCCATTCCCCCTGGGGAGTGTGTGTGTGTGTGTGTGTGTGTGTGTGTGTGTGAATTTTTGCTTTCTGTCTCTCTGTCTCTCTCTTTCTGGTGAGCACATACACCCTATAGCAAAAAACTCTTCAAAAACAAAAAACTATTGAGTCATCAGTAAAGTCATGATGCATTTTTTGCATAGAAAACATAGAAAAATACGTTTTGATTTCCCTGATGACCTAAATTAGCTTATCGAAAGACAAAAACAGATTCACTATCTTTGGACAAGGTGGGAATTTCTTCGTATTTAATCCTTGCTATAATTTTATGTGACTTTTATATTAGACTTTCTACTTTGACTGTCTTTAATTGTGATGAAAGAGGTTTGGGTCATTATTCTTTTTGAACAAAAATGGGCCTTTGAGGTCAATCGTTTTAGATTAAGCAATTCTCGATCTGTGGAATGAGCTAAGAATTGGCAGTACAGTTCACAGATCCTTATCCAGTAGGTTTCTTTTGCAGGTGAATAACTGGTGAACTGTTTATTTTCCATGAAACTCCCAAATACAACTATTAGGAAGATAGTCACAGGGAAAGATTGTTGACTTGACAAAGGGAATATATTTATTCAATTTAAATGAGATTGACTGAGATAATATGTGGAGCAGTAGCTGAGGGCATTGGATATACTAAGTGCATAGTAAAAGTCAGCTGTAATTGAAGTGATTGTATTATCGTTACTATCATTATTCTCTTCCTTGCACACTATCTGAATTTAATAGTACCTACAATTGTGTCATGCATATTTATTAAAGAATGAATGAATGAAATGTGTGTCTGCCTCCTTTTATTTTTTCCCCCCGCATTAAATGCTTTTTTGCTCTTATAGCTAAGGAAAAGGCTGACATAAAAATTGGCTTGCTGGAAAGTTTCTCAGCCCCATTTGTCACCTTACCCTTGGAGCCCAATTGTATGTCAACTCCGTGTCCCCTCTGATGTCTACTATTGAGGGACAGACCACAGGTCAGTTCCCTGTGATCTGCTTTAGCTGCCAAGGCTCTGATCAAGCTTGTCTGATGGATGGGTGCCCTGTCGTTGAAAATGTCTCCATGGGGCTGGTCAGGAAACATGCTTTTGCTGTATTTTCTGGGTGGCATTTAGTGCTTGAAAATAAGAATCATGGAAAACAAAAGGGTGTGATTTTAGGCCCCTTTTGAAAATCCAGAGTTTTGAAAATCTATTTTGAATTACCTACTTTAAGAAATAGTTTTACAGATAAGCTTTGTTACCTTTGCTGTATAAACCCTGTTGGTGGCTTCATGAAATTGTATGTGCAGTTTGTACATGTCTTGTTTTTGTATGTCTGCCAGAGCATTTTTTAAAAATGGTTTTTGTTCAACTTCAAAAGGGTGACTATTCTCAATGTTCTCTTGCCTTAATTTGCAGCACTCACAAAGAGTGAATGAAATGTGCAGCTTGGAGTGTTGTTTCTGAACGGAGGAGTCTTTCTCTTGAAGAGGAGTTCTCAATGAGCCTGGCCGAGGCCCGGGATCTGTGTGAAGTGGACTAAGGATTTAGTAGGATGTCAACTGAGACAGAACTTCAAGTAGCTGTGAAAACCAGCGCCAAGAAAGACTCCAGAAAGAAAGGTAGGGCTGAATTTATTCCCTTCCCTGTGGCTATTTTTCTATTCAGGAATGAGTCTTTTTTGGCTCTGAAATGGCATGAGGAACTATCTTATTGCTGTATATAGTTTAAATGATTACTATTTCCTGTATTTATAATATTTTAATGGCTCTCTATTATTGTCTTAGTAAGACATCAAATTATTTTCACAATATCCAAAGCCCTTCCAGATATGCCTTCCACCCATCCCTCCAGCATCACCTCTGTCTCGCTCCCACTCCTGCCACCCTTACCTTCCAACCTGTTTTGCTTATTGTAGTCTGTTAGTGGTTCTCAAATTCCAGCAGCACCAGAACCATGTAGAGGGTTCGTTAAAGCTCAGATTGCTGAGAGCCAACCCCAGGGTTTCTGATCTCATATGTCTAAGATGGGCTCAAGACTTGGCGTTTATTTTAAGTTCCCTGATGATACTGATCCTGCTAATCCAGAAAACATAGTATGACAACCACTAGACTATATATTTTTTGAGGTATTTTGGTTTTGTTTCATTTTTATTTGTTTCTGCTATAGGGTATGTGTGTTCACTAGAGAGAGACAAACAGGGGAGAGTGGGAATAAGAAGTCACCCCTCAAGGGAGATGGCCACATTGCAACCCTTTCTCCATTCTCCTCTTGGAATTTTTGGCATGTACACACGTGCACCTGGCATGATTTTCAAACCTCCGGGTTCAGGACTTTAACTGCAGAGTTGCCTATATGAGTTCCAGCTGCCTTAACCTCCAAGCTACCTGCTAGCCCAGAACCACTGTATTCTTTTTTAAATTTTTTAAATAATTAATTAATTAATTAGTTAATTAATTAATTAAAATTTGGTGAGAGAGAGAAAGTGAAAAAGCAAGCCGCCAGGTCCAGGACTTGAACCATGGTTGGTCATGAGGGTATCCATTGCCCTTAGTCACCACACCACCTGCAAATGCGTGTTCCCGAAAACTGCAGTCTTTTTTTTTTTTTTTTTTTTTTTTTTTTTGCTCTTCAATTTTTCTGGACTGATTTCTGTTTGTATTCCAAATATGAGTTCAATGGATCCTCCTGAAGGGGTTCCAAAATTTTGGCAGTTATTCCCCAAGTTGGGTTAGTTGCTTTTGTTTTGTTTTATTTCAGTAGCACTTTGTTAATATTTCACTGTATTAAAAATGTATGTTTTTATTAGCTATATTGTAAACTCCTTCAGAGCTGATGTCTTACTTATCTTTTAAGTCCTAACACTTAGTATATACTTGACAGAGAGGAGGCATAGAAATATCTGGCAATGAAGCCTGGCTTACATAGTATAATTATAAAGTAATTCTATCACTTTTCACATTTTCTTGATAATTTGGTCTAATGACTTTATGTCCATGTCTTTCAGTTAAGTTTGTCTTCCTGTTGTAATTAAATGTAAGCATCTACTTGCTGTGTGTGTGTGTGTGTGTGTGTGTGTGTGTGTGTGTGTGTGTCTTCTCTCTGGTGTCAGCTCTTTCCTTCCCTTGTTTTCTCAACTGCATGAAAGAGGATTAATAGAACTCTCATTCAAGTCTTGGAATCAAGAAGAGCTTGCAAACTGGGATCCCCTTGGCTGCTTTGTATAGGCAGTAATTTTTTGACATCGCTGTATCTTTCCACTCATGTTTTGTCATTGTGTTTGTCTGACATCTATACAAAGCAGAAGACATAAATGTATACATATACAGCTCTTCGACAACCAAAACCCCATGAAAGACTATATTTGCTTCAGTGTTAACTTGAAACAGGTATTTTGGAGACAGTCTATCTTATTCTCTAAAATGTAATATAAACCTTGTTTTATATGCATCATGATCTAAGAATAATAGAAGGAATGCAATTGAGTGAGAATGCAGGTCATGGGGGGAAAACGAGGGGGGAAGAGATTTCAGAACTTACTATGTACTAGAATTCAAATGCTTTCTCATTGGAAACTGACCAGTTACATTCTTGCTTCAAGTTTAACCTTTTCACTAAACTTATGCTCTTGAATGCTTAATGCATTAAAATTGTATCTTAGTGCATGTTTTTTTCCATCCTTAATTTTAACATGCAAACCCAGAGCATTCTGAAGTGAAGATTCAGGTTTTTAGGATATTGACTTACTTAAGAATTTGGGATAGGAGCTGAAGGTGACCCTTTTAGAAACACTTAATCTTCACATCCTAGGAATGTCTGAAATTGGCACAATTTATATGTGAGGAATGTCCTATTGTTAGCTAATATCAGGAAGTCTGTATAGGCACACCAGGGTTCAAATTCTGTCTGTATACTTCCTCACTATGTGACCTTGGAAAGTTATTTAACCTCTCTAATCTTTACTTTCTCTTCCTATAAAATAGGGATGTAATATTACAAACCTTGAATGTTCACTATGAAGAGTAATGAAATGAAACAAAGTACTTAGTACTTACTGGGCTTAATATAGATATTAAGTACTCAGTGAAGGTTGTCTCCCTTCTCTTCCTCTCACTTATCCCTCTCACGTATGCTGCCTTCCTTCTCTTCTTGCTTTTACTTCCTCTTCCATTCTTTCTACATTTCTCATCTTTCTCCCCTTTTCTCTTTTTCTGTTTTCCCGTCATCCATCTTATCTTAATCAGCTTGAGCTACCATAACAAAATAGTATACTTGGGTTTATTTTTCCTAAATCTGGAGACTAGCAGTCTCAGATCAGGTACCAGCTGGTTCAGTTCATGGTGACTGCCTTCTCGCTGTTTCCTCACATTGTAGAGCAAGAGCAGAGTTTCTCTCACTCTCTTTCCGACTCTTATTTGGTCCCTAATCCCATCACGAGAACCCATAATCTCATCTAACCCCAATTATCTCCCCCCCAAAATCCCTACAGTTCCAAATACTATCACATTGGGGTTTAGACTTCAACATAGACATATTGGTGGGATACAAATTCTCAGTTCATAACACACATCCCTCTTCCCTCCTTTCATCTTTTTTGTTGTCACTATCCTTTTCATCATCATCATTATCATTTCATTGTTACGTTGATTTTCTTATCCCATTTTATAGCTAAGGGGCTCTTGAAAAGTATATAGCTAATTTGTAATAGTTTATAATTGTACAGCAGTCATAAATAATCTTTATTTGTGATATACTTGTCAAGATGAAGGTATCATGAAAGCACATGTATACATTAAAAAGAGAGAATGTTCTGGTAACAGCCTTAATTCATTTCTTGTTCTTCATTTTAATCTATGGAATAGTATTTCATTAAACAAATGTTGCGATTAGGTTAAAATAAGTAGAACTTTAAAAGGAATCTGTAGTTTATATTTTGACCTTGAATCTTGAATATCAGAATGTCTTTAAAATCTTTTATTAATTCTTCCTCCAGCTTGGATTTTCTATGGTGATAACGTATAACTTACATATAAGTTACTCTTTCTCTCTAATCTTTTAGTATTCGTTTCTTTTCCCTGTCTTATTGCATGGCTGAGTCTGTCAGTAAAATATTTTCTTGTTTGTTTTGGAGAGGTTTTTGCTATAGGGTGCATGTGCTCACCAGAAATAAAGAGAGAGACAGAGAGACAGAAAATGAGAACTCATGATTTCCTCCATTTGCCTCTTGGGGTCTTGGGAACGCACGTACACTCACCTGGTGTGAGTTTAAGCCACCAGGTCTGGGACTCGAACTGCAGTTGACTACATGGGAGTCCAGCAACATAGCCATTATGCCAACTATTGGTCTCTCTGTCAGTAAAATATGTAGTGATAATACGTATACTTATCTCATAATCTGAATTAATGGAAATGCTACTAAATTACATTTGAATGTGATGTTTACTGAAGATTTTTCAATAATTCTTTTTTGTATATTATTTCCTAGGGAGTCTTTTTTTAATTCTGAAATTGCATTTTCAATTTTACCATATGCTTTTTCTGTATTTATTTCAATGATTATATATAATTCTACTCTTTCAATTTATATTGTGGTAGATTTAACTGATTTTCTAATCTTTATTTCTAGGCTAAACCTTATTTCTGAGTAATTTATTGTTTTCCACAGAATACTAAATTTGATTTGTTAAGGAATTTTTTTGTGTGTTTATTTCATCAGCAAGATTGATTAATAGTTTTCTTTTTCTAGACTACCTTGGTGTCTGGTATTAGTCAATGTTATATACTCACATAATGATTTTGGTAGAAGGAAGCACTAAATAATATTTAAAGTCTCTCTCTGGAAAATATTATTATTTCTTATATTTAGGAATTTCATTTAACTTTTTAGAAGCCATATGTACTTATTACTGAAATTAGAAAAGACAAAGTATTCATGTGTAATTCCATGAAGCAAAAATAAGTACTACTGAAATTTTAAGTTATTTTCTTTTTGGACTGACTTTCCAGAATAATATGTGGTTGAGATTATACTATTCATACAGTTTTACGTCATACTTCATTTGGCATAATATCTTAAATACATTTCCCATATTATATGATGTTGTAGGATGTAAGGTTCACCCCTACCTCCCTTGGCAGGATTTAGATAGCTCCTGGGGCATTTATTTTATTTCTTGAAAAATGTTACCTGACAATGTGGGTCATCTATTGTGAGAAAAAGTAGCATAAAGAAAGTTCAGAGGCCCTTCAGAGTTTCTCACAAACCTATCACCCTGGTTCTTTAATCCAGATTGTTGAAAACACACCAGATGGTTTCAAATACGAATCACATAGGGGCATATTTCACCACAAAATGAGTTTCTAGACAGGCCATGTATGAAACATAACTAGAACATTCACAATTCAAATAAGGGGTGGAAGTAGTGAAAAACAAAGTTGTTTTCTTCATTTCATTTTTATTGGATTGTGTCATTACATATACAGCTTGTCAAAAGATGCCTATTCCAAGAGTGGAATTTGATGGAGGGCCAGAGCAAGGAAATGTAAATTTTCAGGTTTGTTACTTGCTATCAAAGTAAGAGATTCCGTTGATAAAATTCATGTTATTTGTAATCCAGTGTTA